TATGTTAACCTCCCTTGCGTTTTGGGTGCTGGGGAGGAGGTCTCATGTCGCTTGTACCAAGACATATTACGTCTCGCCTTCAGATGGCAACGGGGACGAAACCCATCGGGTTTTGCCTTCTCAAACCCATCCCCACGAGAAAATCGCAAACCCGTCCCCGTCCTCATCACCGTGTGCGGGGCTAGTTTTTCGCCCGTCCCCTAAACCCATCGGGTTTCGGGGAACCCACGAGAAAATAAAAATATTTAAACAAACATAGTGGCGATAAAGAATAACATTTGAATAGCAAAACAAGCACATTTCAGCAGCATAACTAGAGCAAATTTCAACAAAAAACAATAGTAGATGGTTCAACAGCTATATAGAGTGTATTTTAGCAGATTTAAACAACATACATAGTATATTTCGGAGGCAGCAAACATAAGATAAATAGTAGTAACAATGATATCATTTCACCAGCAACATAGTACATTTCAGCAGCAAAACAACTGCAAATTTCAGCACAATACTCAGGAATAACACCAGCTAAAAGAAGCCTATTTCAGCACAACTATAGCCCATTTCAACAACGAAGATAAACATATTTCAGCAACAAACAAGAGCATATTTCAGTAAAAAAAATTGTATTTTGCCGGGTTTCGGGTTCGGGGACTACCGAAACGGGTGCAAACCCATGAAACGTGTCGGGTTGTATAATGTGCACAACAACAGTCCCGCGGGGATGAAAAGACGCCCATCCCCGTCCCCTAATAGGGTAAAAACCAGCGGGGACGCGGGTTTCGGGGCCCTGTTGCCATCTTGAGTCTCGCCTACAGGGCGGCATTTTTGGCCGGCTCAGTTCCGCGAAATTGTTTTGACTACTTTTAACAGTTTTACATTGGTTTCGGTTGTTTTTCTTGTGTTTTTGGTTTCCTTTTTGTTTTTTACTTTCTTTCTGGTTCTTTTTTCCTTCTTCTTAGTTTTTTTGATTTTAATTTGTTTCAGTGTTTACTTTGGTTAAACATTCCAAACATCTACTCCCATACTATAAGAACGATTTTGACATTACATTAGTGTCAAAAATGCTTTTATATTATGAGACGGAGGGAGTATTTATTTTATTCTTCTGACCAGTTTTATTACTACATGGGTGATGGAAAAGAATATCAGAATTTTCAACAGAGTTATCGAATGATTTTACTCGAAATACACATGTTCAAACGTGGCCCGGCAATTTTTGTCCGAAAATAAGGTGTTAGCCGCAGCCTCTGTATTCGTTGAACACACATCAAATGAGTGATGCACACACAACTCAACAAGACCGTGCATCATTCTGGTAAGCCTTTTGCAAAAATGAAATAAATTTTTTTCTACTGTAGTACTTAGGGCCAGTTTTTTTCGACGATTCTCCTAGAATCGCCCCTCTCCTTAGCTTCTCCCAGAATCGTCACTCCATATTTTTTTTTACAATCCTACTAGTTAAGGTCTAATTGTAGCAATGTTTATTCCGAAGGCAACAATGAATCAAGTAGATAAGCTCACGGTACAAGTACAACAAATGGAATCGGCCATGGATCACATCCACACATCACATGTATGCGCGCCAATTCGATCCCAGAACCCCAGTATACATAATCTCAAATGGAATCGCTACCGACTGACTGACAAGAAGAAGAGGCCGCGTCGCCGCCAATCATATCAGATCACAGGGTGGACACGGCGTAGACCGCGGCCACGATGAAGCTGGCGACGATGCCGGCCGAGCTCTGGAGCGACGCGCCGCCGCTCCCCACGTCCGCCGTCGGCGTCGACTTGGACCCTGCACGTGCATCCAAAATTCGTCGGTCAGTACCGTAATTCAGACGCATCAGGAACTTTCACCAAGCAGCATGGATTATTTATTTATTTATTTATCGAATTAATTATTACGTACCTGCTCCGGAGGATGTTGGCGTCTGTCCCGCCGGCGCGCCGGAGGACGGCGACGTGGTAGGGGCAGAGGCGCAGTTGCTGAGCGGAGGCGTCTTGACGCCGCACTGGTCGGGGAGGCCGAGGGCGCGGGTCTTGTTGACGGTGCCGAGCCCGAGCGCGGCGGGGTCGGCGTTGAGCGCGACGCAGAGGCACTCCGGCTTGGAGCTTACCACGGAGGCGAGCTGCGAGCAGCACGACTTGGACGGCGCCGTCTCGTTGCCCGTGATGTAGTTGAGGCAGGGCGACATGCCGATGAGCGTCTGCGTGCACCCGCTCGTGGGCGACTGCGCCGACGCGCCGCCGGCCAGGACCGC